CACTGGCCAAATGTCTGTACAATGATAAAAGAACAAAATAAAACATTTTAAAATGCATAAATGTTTTATTGAGCGTTTTGAAACTGTAAAAAGAGTTAAAATCATGAAAAACGTCAAGCATTAAATTATTCATGTAAATTATGTACACTCTTGTGTTTGGACGTGTTAGTGATGGACAACCTGTGACTAGACTGGAGTCCAACAACAGAACGCCGCTCAGGTTCAGATCAGAGAATAAGACAAATAAAACGGCTAAAGAAGGGACTTCTAACGTGACGGACTACAGGAGCCTGTTGTGAGTTTATCACTGAGTTTAAATGCACATTTTAATGCTCATTCTTCGCATCATGTGCTGTTCCTCATGCTGCATCTACAATTACAGACTCATCCCTGCTGTTACATAAAAGCCATGCAGAGGCTTACAAATCAGATTAGAGCTGCCACAGGCCAAAGAGGATCGAGGCCGGTGAGGCAGCATGGCCAACCAGTAGACTGATGCTGGCATGTCTTGGACCGAACACTTGGGTTTATTCAGCCCGTCAGTCTACCAGTTTCTGTAAAGGACGTCTAATTTAAGGCACCACTTGCAGGCAGGTCCTGCAGACCGTCATCCTGGCTGCTTTTCTTCTCCCTCTCTTATTTTCTTAACATTTCAACCAGTGGAACCGTTCAGTTTGATCTCCAATAATTAAAACCTTTGGACTCCATGTTCTGTGGGATTGCAATCATCCTGAGACAGGTGTGGCTGAAGCGAGAAAGAGCCCCCCCCCCCCAACAGCAAGAGGATTTTCTTTGATTCCACAGGAGCACAGGTCTAATCTCAGAACAGCCGGCACAATTACAGCCTTTAAACTAATTAAGGTGCTGAAGTGTGGTTGCAGCGAGGACTTCTGTTCTGTCCCTCAAAACACTCGACACGATCAGCGAGAGACAGGAGACATTTCAGTTTAGCTGAACGTCATGTTGAGATCAGCAGGAGCTTTATCTGGAGCAAAGCTGCAGGAAATCAATGAAGACTTGATGGTATGAAAAGGGATAGAGCAAGAATATCTGTTCGTCCACCCATCTGTCCATCATCTTCTGCTTGTTCTGAAGTCGGGTTGTAAGGGTGCAATTTGCTCCAAAGTGAACTTTTTGCTGCCTCTGTTCTCTTGTATTGTCCTTCTCTCTTATTAACATAAAACCAACCTTGTGACACCCTAAAAAATCTTGAAAAACTTTAACTTGAGTTTTAAAAACAGGGTAATAATCTCTTTGCCATTATGAAAGAGAGCAGACAGGTGGAGGACGCGTTCAATGCTCTCAGGGAGTCGGATGCTTTGTTCATTGTCCAGCAGCAGTAGCTGTCCTCCTGATAGCCTCTCTAATCACTGCTGTCATTTTTAATCTCCCTCCTCTGCACACGAGCGTATTTAAAGCAGGGACCTCCATGTGCTCAGGCAGGATTAGACAAGTGAGCAGGAAAAGGGAGGTGCGGCGTGGGGTGGAGGGCACCAGTAGCAGCTACAATGGTACCTTCTGGTCCCACAATACTGTGATCCTTGTGACTGATGCACAAGCTTTTATACATGCATATATATATATATATATATATATATATATATATATATATATATATGTGTGTATATATATATATATATACACGGTACGTAGCTCTGATCCACAGATTTCAGTATCGTCTATTGTCTGACTGTGATGTCTCTCTAAGAATTGTAAATTATGACATACAAACCTCGTTTTCTGTGTTTAATTTCTAATCAAAATGTCTATAAATAATTGTTTACTTTAATAAATAAATGAAAAACTTGTTTGTGAGGAGATTTAGAGACGGCAGTTTGAGGGTGAAGACAGGATCCTGGGTGGAAAAGGAAGGATTGTTTTGTGAAATTAGAAAAACACAAAGTTCACAGGAGACGAGCGACAGCTCTGATCAGATCTTGGTAGCTGTTAGTCTTGCATCACGTTTGCATGGTGCCTTTAGGTTCCTGGGTGTTGCAGGATGCATCATCACTCCCTTGTCTCTTTGGCAGTGACCTGCAGCGTATGTCGAGGACATCCAGGCGTGCATCTTCCCTCCATCTGTGTTCTAAATCTCCAAACCCATCAAAGCTCTGCAGCCGCTCACTTGTCTCTTTGCTCTTGAGAAGAAATGCAGAGCTGCAGTGAATTTAATCAGAACAGCTCATGTTTTTTCATGTAGATGCTGAAAGCCCTCGGTACATGCAGGTACCCAGAGATGCTGCTTGACTGAGTTTATACTGTTCCTTTAACAGAAGGTGACTCCTCCTCCTCCAGTCGGTGCAACAGTTTTTGGGTAGAGTGATAAAATATTGTTTAAGTTTGGATTAACTCGACGGGTCTGATGAAGGCTGCTGTTGGGATGTAAATCTTGTCTCATTATCTCTGTGGAGACATTTCTGCCAACAGAATCTGTCTCACATGGAGTTTTTATTCAATATAAAATTCATTATGTTTGGGTTCTTTCTGTCTTCAATCATTTTTATTTGGGCATGACAGATGCCTGCTCATCTTCAAATCTGGAGTCTGGTCTAACCTCCGTTCTTGCAGCTCCTAAATCTGTCCAGTATTTATTTCAGATCTTCTGATAACAGACACAGACGCTCACCTTCAGCTGCATGCACTAATTACATTTTCAATAAGTCAGAGTTAAATGTTTTTCTGGAGAATGATTGTTTCTCGCTGGAAAATAAAATCAAACAGCGACTGCGTCTTCATTCAAAGCTGAATATTTGGAGCTTCAGCTCAGCCTCCTCCTGGTCTTTGTCAGATGTTGGTGTTATCTACACCCATGATCTGTTTCTGTCAGGGTGTGTCGAGCATCAGACTTTTAATCCTAACTGGACTTTATTTGTACGCCTGGTACCAGATCTTTATTTCTATTTATTCCTGGTGTAAAATATTTCATTATATATTTAAACAGACTGTTTGAACTGTGGTGTGTAAATACATGTAGGCGTTAAGCTGAACCTCACCTACAAAGATAAAAATGCAACAACTAATGTGCTTAAAGCATATTTAACTACACATTAACATCTTTGTTTAGTCTTTGGTCATCGGGTCTGACTGACAGGAGGAAGGATTTGATGTAAAAGAGACAAACACCTATAGCTGTTTCCATGGCAACAGGCTTAAGGCACTCCAGTGACGTCTTGCTGACATTACTGACAGGAAACGTAGCTTTCCTCTGAAGCCGTTCGATGTGTGTGTGCTGCCGTTAGAATATTAAGCCGCGTCGTGAGTGGGATCAGGAGATTTGCTGCGATGAGTCACGGAGCAGAAATCCTCGGCTCTTACGCTGCATAAACTGCTGGGAGTTGTTAAAACGCACCGTCAGCTCTCTGACACGCATCATCTCGCCCATGTCGCGCCCTCTCAAAAGAACACGCTTCTGTTTTTACACATTTAGAAATGATCACGCATCCTCTTGGTTTATTTGAGAATATTTTGTAGAACGTACAAATCTGTCTTTGGCTCTGGAAAGGACATCCTTTGGTGTCCTCTCTTTAAGGATGCAACCCCCGCCCCCCCCCAGCCTGCATTAACTGCTGCCCCCCCAAGGCACCGCCTGATATTACATGTTACAGAGGATGAAGGGAAATCTGGCGTTAAACTGAGACGCAGAGCGAAGACGATGGGAGTTATTTCTGTATTTGTGTCTGCCTGTGGACAAGCTTGAAGCTTAGCACCAGCTGCACCAGTTGCACCAGTTGCACCAGTTCACGCTGCTGCTCCTCATCTGATCAACAGTGAAATTCACTTTTCAAGAAGGGGCCGACAAACACGCTGATCAGCAATCAGTTGTTCTGTTCATATATTAAAGATTTCAAATTATATTTAAAATTAATGGTTTGCATCATCCGTCCGTCCGTCCGTCCATCCATCCATCCATCCATCCATCCGTCCATTCATTCATCCATCCATCCATCCATTCATTCATCCATCCATCCATCAGTCCATCCATCCATCTATCCATTCATTCATCCATCCATCAATCCATCCATCCGTCCATCCATCCATCCATTCATTCATCCATCCATCAATCCATCCATCCGTCCATCCATCCATTCATCCATCCATCCATCCGTCCGTCCATTCATTTATCCATCCATCCGTCCATCCATCCATCCGTCCATCCATCCATCCATCCATCCATCCGTCCATTCATCCATCCATCCATCCGTCCATCCATTCATTCATCCATCCATCAATCCATCCATCCATCCGTCCATCCGTCCATCCATCCATCCGTCCGTCCGTCCGTCCATCCATCCATCCGTCCATCCATCCATCTGTCCATCCATCCATCCATCCATCCGTCCATCCATCCATCCATCCGTCCATCCATCCGTCCATGTTTACCTGCTTCTTCTTGATTGGCTCACTGGAGTCACTGGTGCCACTGGTGCCCATGTCCAGCTGTCACAGTGCGAGAGGCGGGGGACACCTGGACAGGTCTCCAGTCCATCACAGGGACACCTGGACAGGTCTCCAGTCCAAAACAGGGACACCTGGACAGGTCTCCAGTCCATCACAGGGACACCTGGACAGGTCTCCAGTCCATCACAGGGACACCTGGACAGGTCTCCAGTCCATCACAGAGACACCTGGACAGGTCTCCAGTCCATCACAGAGACACCTGGACAGGTCTCCAGTCCATCACAGGGACACCTGGACAGGTCTCCAGTCCATCACAGGGACAATTCAGAGTCACCATCAGTCTAACATGCATGTTTTTAGTCTGTGGGAGGAAACTGGAATACCTGGAGAAAACCCACACATGCACAGAGAGAACATGCAAACTCCACCCAGAAAGATCCCGGGCCGGGATTTGAACCGGTGACCTTCTCGCTGAGAGGAGACAGTTCTACCAACCGTGCCCCCTGTTTTGCTTCATTGTTTAGAAATTAAAAAAAACTTTGACCTTGAAAGAAATCCTTCAGTCGTGCGTTGAGCTGCTAATGTTCGTTTGTTTTGCAGAGAGTGAGCGAGAAGGTTGGAGGAGCAGAAGGAACAAAGCATGATGAGGACTTCACCGAGATGGAAAAGGTTATTGTCTTCTGTTGCCTTCCTGATGAAGACCACGGGCTTCCACTGTAGTTTCTGGAGTTTCAGGTTGTGAAAGCTCTGATGGACCAGCTCCGACTTCTGTCTTCATTAGGAACACTTTTTAAAAACGTAAACCTTCGTCAGTCCATGTTCATGTTCATGGTTTGCCAGTTTGTCCCGCTCCAGAGTCACATGACACACGAGTCTTTTGACTTGTGGAACTTTAGTAACTTACGTTTGGCGCAGTTTTAAAAATATCAAACCTCGTCTTATCTGCTGTCCATTTGAGTCCTTGCATTTTTAAAAAGTGCTAATATATAAATATATAAATGAATGTTAGTACATTTTTAAGCTTTGCATATAATTAATAGAAATCTTCAGAAATCATTGATGTTTCTTAAGATTTACTTTTTATGTTACACTTTTTAGATGTTTTTACATGAATGCCTGTGACATTTAGTTTTTCAGCGTAGGTTCTATATATTGCTGGTGAAAGGAGTTTTAGCAGCTCCAACACAAACCTTCAGACGTTCTGCAGAATCTGTTCGTGTTGCATCTGTTCCTTCTCCTTTTACATGTTTTTAATGACTGGGTCTGCAGAGGGTGGATTCTACGGCTCGAGCGGTGCTGGACATCATGACAAAGACCACAGAGTACCTGCAGCCAAACCCAGGTAACAGAACTGAGCTCCGGGTTCTTGTGTCGCTCAGAGCAAGATCACCGGGAACAGGTTTTATAAACTTTAATGAGTAATTTCACCAGACACTTCTCAGACATTCTGCCGGGTGGTTTTCTTTCTCTGGCAGAAGTCACAGTCTAAAATCTATTTGTCTGCACTTTAAACTCTTTCTATCAATCACAACTAGATTATTGATTATTGATTATTAGTAATAGAAGGATGTTAGAAATGCAGCTGCCAGGACAAACACCAAGAGGAGATCTATGGATGCAGTTAGCGAGGACATGGAGGTAGTTGGAGGGAGGACAGAGGATGCGGAGGACACAGTGAGGACAGAGGATGCGGAGGACACAGTGAGGACAGAGGATGCGGAGGACACAGTGAGGACAGAGGATGCGGAGGACACAGTGAGGACAGAGGATGCGGAGGACACAGTGAGGACAGAGGATGCGGAGGACACAGTGAGGACAGAGGATGCGGAGGACACAGTGAGGACAGAGGATGCGGAGGACACAGTGAGGACAGAGGATGCAGAGGACACAGTGAGGACAGAGGATGCAGAGGACACAGTGAGGACAGAGGATGCAGAGGACACAGTGAGGACAGAGGATGCAGAGGACACAGTGAGATGGAGGAGGATGACTCGCTGTAGCGACCCTGAAGAGGGAAAAGCTGAAAGAAGAAGAAGAAGAATAGCGTCAACTCCACATTGCATTTTCTGCCCATCTGATTTCCGGCTTGTGTCTCTGTAGCATCTACAGGTATCTCAGAATGAAGTGAGGAGTGAACACCCATCCTTCTCATGATGGTTCCTGGAGATCACAAAATGGAAGTCTTGGGTTTGAGAGCGAGGTCTTGACCTGTAAGAGCAGCGATGGTGACAGTGGTTGAGTTGGTTCTTGATCTGGTGTTTGCAGTTGATCCACTAGGTTGTTACTGGTCCAGTTTTGCTCAGCACTTGAATGCACCAAAGCTAACGGGGAGATCTATCATAGTCACACAGTCAGTAGCAGGTAAAACAAGATGAGACCAGGAGAACCTGAAGAGCTCTCCACCAACATCCCTGGACTTCTGCTGGAATCTCAAATGAGCAGGACACAGGTGATGAAGTGACCACTCTTACTGAGAGTCTTTGACACTTATCCAACGCTCCCTCCTTCGGTGGTAACTTGATGTGTCCAGTCTGCACTGGTTCCAGCCACAGCTGAAGGTTTTGGCAGGTCTGGGTTCAAGTCCCAGAAATGTCTGATCACTGGAAACAGGGTACTCAGGGGACTTGTAGTGTTTCTTGTGTCCCTCTCAAAGGAAGTGATCAGTCCGGATGGTGAGATTAATTAATTCATCCAGGTCTCGAGGTCCGTCTCGGGTGGCCAACTGATCCTGTACCAGCTGCGGTGGTGTGGCTCTGCCCTGCCACTCGGAGGCTGCGAGGAAATGGTTCCAGAAACCACTGGAGTCCTACAGAAAGCACTCGTTCTATTTTAAACATCAGTACTCTGTGGGACTTACAGAGGGTTGTTCAAAGTTTAGCTTAATTTAATAAAATAAATAAATTAGGCCTAGTTGAAGATTTACTTTGCTATCATTCAGAGACTTCTCTTACATTGAGATGTGAAACACTATTATTCCAGTAATTTCCTCTTAGTAGATCAATTAGTTTCATCCATTTCAGTAGATAATCAGTGAAGATTACTTGATGAAGCACATCTGTATTTCATCAAAGTCAGTTTGACCATCTAGATTTCAGTTTTCATAGTTTTAAGGTAAAGCAGTCTATTTACCAGTCGGTCTGTGTTCACACCCTCACATCATTACAAACCATATTGTCATATAACCGTTGCCCCATTGTGGGCCCTTGAGCAAGGCCCTTAACCTTCCATCTGCTCCTTAGGTGGCAGCTGTCTGCTCCACATGTGTGACAGGAAACAGAATGAATTTCCCCACTAGGCATTAACAAATTTAATGTTATTGTTACTAGAGGCTGAAATGAGTTTCATCCAAAGTGTAGCTGGACTGTCCTTTAGAGACAGGGTGAGAAGTTCAGTTATCAGGGGAGACTCAGAGTAGAACCACTGCTCCAACTGGGAGGAGACCCAGGACACAGAGACCATGTCTCAGTTGGCCTGGGAACACCTTGGAGTCCTCCCAGAAGAGCTGGAAGAGGCTGTGGAGAGAGATGTCTGGACCTCCCTGCTCAAGATGCTGCTCTGGACCCGACTCCAGGAAGCAAAGAAGGAAAATTCCTGAAATCATAGTTGGAGTTTACTTCACCTCTTTACCTCTGGTTTCTTTGGACTACAACTCAAAATCATGATCGAAGTGGAACATTCATTGGATGCGATCTGTTTTGTGTTTTTGTTTATTTGTTTTGTTGTTGTTTGTGTGTTTACAGCCACCAGAGCCAAGATGACCATGATGAACTCCATGTCTCGTATGCGAGGCCAGGAGAAAGGGCCGGGCTACACGCAGACCGAGACCATGCTGGGAGAGTCCATGCAGAGGTTTGGACGGGAGCTCGGAGAGGAGTCCACCTTTGGTGAGTTTGACACCTGAGAGCTTCACACAGAAACTGAACCAAGTGGCCCAATTTATTCTGTCAACCACTCCGTAACGGAGTCTTTAAATGTTATACGGGATGTTCAACCAGAGGAAGTACCTGCAGTCCGTCTTGAAATGAAGAACATACAAATCTGTGTCCAATGAGAAGGCCATGAATATTGTTTCCTATTTTGGACTTACATTGACGTTGTAACATTGACTTTTGAGTCTCTTCTTCTTTCTATGTTAGGTGTTGCTCTGATTGACGTTGGCGAAGCCATGCGTGAGCTAGGTGAGGTCAAGGACGCTCTGGACATGGAGGTAAAGCAGAACTTCATCGATCCAATGCAAAACCTCCATGAAAAAGACATCAAGGAGATTCAGGTACAAGTGTGGAGCTGTCGCGCACCACCCATGGTCAAAAGCACAATTCTAATAGTTACGGATTTCAACTGTGAGGTTGACGTTTTCAGCATCACCTGAAGAAACTGGAAGGCCGCCGCCTAGACTTTGACTATAAGAAGAAACGTCAGGGCAAAGTGACGGATGACGAGATCAAACAAGCGCTGGAGAAATTTGATGACTCCAAGGAGATTGCTGAGCAGAGCATGTTCAACTTGTTGGAGAGTGACGTAAGTATTACTTTTAAAAGTTTAATCCAGCCAGTTTGAATCCTCCAGAAGAGTCTAATCACGTTGTGGTGCAAGTTGTGTCATCGTCCGTGGCTAGTTTTATTATCAGCTCAACTCTTCCTACACCGTTGATAGGAATGTGATCAACTTGGTGCAAAGTCTGTCACGATAAGAGGCCGTGCACATTCATTCATTTTATTTATACAAGTTAATCCCATGGAGCCTCGGGGACTCATTTATAAGAGAGACCTGATTAAATGTTCTTGGCACCCTTTCTTACACTTTGTTATATTTCATATGTAGAGAAATCTTCTCAGGTCACCACGTCACATTACAATTTTACAAAGTTTTTTTTCTTCTAAAAATAAATTAAGACTTTATTGGGTAATAATAACGACACAGATGTCTATGTATTACACGGTAAAAACATATTTAATAATAACAACTTGAATGTGTTTTATCCCGTCGGGCGTATATTGCGCCTCCTTGCGGAGCTCCTGGTTTTTATGCTTTGCTTCCAAAGAGTTCGTGTCGTGGAATAAAGAGATCCCAAACAACCAGGTGTAGACTTCATCAGAGTCCAAAGCTTTGGAGAACAGAAGATCAATGCATGTGCAAGTCCAGTTTATTTATGTTTCACCTGTTTGGAGATTTTATTTTACTTATTCTGTTTTTGGTTTCTACGTGTGGATGGGAGATGCAACTTTTTTCTAGAAACCATGAAAGTGTCACGTTGTGGCCTAAAAACAAAAATATGAAGATTTTTTTTTTGTCATTTTTTTCTGAACCTGTTTTGTTTTATCCTTGTCTTGTCACATTAAACTTTGATTGTGTGTCAAAATTATTAAAACTGAGAGTAAAATGAAATGATAAATAAAAATTGGGTAAAATTAAAAATATATATTTAACTAAACAAAGAATTTTCTGTTTCTGTATTTTGATATTTCATTAGTTTAAACATTTTTGACACCTTACATGGGCATTGAAGCATTTTTGTTCTAGGAAGTGGATAAAGTTATATGTGAACTATAGAAATTATTTATAAACAGGTTCGTTCAAAACTTTGATTTGGATTCTGACATTTATTTTTTTATTAAATTTCATTTCAATTAATTTTCTGTTCAATTCTTGTATCTGAGCTAATTGTTCAGTTTGGCCTTAAAAAGTAAGAAACGCAGAAGAGAATGTGTGAGACCTAAAACAAAGTAAATAAAATATGTGTTAACCCCGGATGAGCAGGGTCTGACAGTCACCTGTAAGGAACAGGACAGGAATCCATGAAAGCCAGACATGGGACACAGGACCAGCCGTCTTCAGGTCTGTCCGAGTCCTGAAAGACCTTTAACAACCGAAATAACTATTCATTAAAAACGTTTTCTATAAAGTACAAGTCTGGTTCTTTAAATCAAAATGTAAAGAGAAAAAGACTCTAGATTTATTTATGATTTTAAGCTTCTGCTCCTGTCACACATTTATTTACAGGACCTCAATAATAGTTTTCTTTGGTATTAAATTTTGCTATAAAATATATTGATCTATTTAACGTTGTCAGACAGTCCATGTCATTTCCATGATCCTTACTCAGATAGAAGTCTCCTTAGGTCATGGAGTTTTAGATAAAATAAATGAAGCGTGTAAATGATCAGGTCTCTCTTGTAAATGACTCCAACAGGCTCAATGGGATTAACCTGCAAAAATAAAGGTTGGATGAAAAAAGCAGTTTACAGATTAATTTAATCTGTAACAAGGTTTGTCTTTTACCCATCAGATGATTTCTCTGTGATACTGTATGTGTGATGCATCATGTGAACAGATGTCTGTATGTGTGATGTATCGTGTGAACAGATGTCTGAATGTGTGATGTATCATGTGAACAGATGTCTGTATGTGTGATGTATCATGTGAACAGATGTCTGAATGTGTGATGCATCATGTGAACAGATGTCTGTATGTGTGATGCATCATGTGAACAGATGTCTGTATGTGTGATGTATCGTGTGAACAGATGTCTGTATGTGTGATGCATCATGTGAACAGATGTCTGTATGTGTGATGTATCATGTGAACAGATGTCTGTATGTGTGATGCATCATGTGAACAGATGTCTGTATGTGTGATGCATCATGTGAACAGATGTCTGAATGTGTGATGCATCATGTGAACAGATGTCTGAATGTGTGATGCATCATGTGAACAGATGTCTGTATGTGTGATGTATCATGTGAACAGATGTCTGAATGTGTGATGCATCATGTGAACAGATTGAACAGGTGAGCCAGCTGGCGGCGTTAGTCCACGCCCAGGTGCAGTATCACACCCGGGCAGCTGAAATCCTCACGCAGCTCTCCAGTAAAATTGATGAACGGTGGGTATTCTTGAAGTTGCCACGTCAAAGCAACAGAACTTGAACCTGAACTTTGATTTGAACAATCCCTTCTCTTGCTCCTCGTAGGATAAGGGACACCTCTGTCAAACCCAGGAAGGAGTTTGTCCCAAAACCACGAACGTCTCTGGAGTTGTGCATCAGTGAGAACCTCAACGGGGGCATCCACGGAGCTCGTTCTCCAGGTGAGATTAGGAACTCGTCTGTTTCATTCAGGTGCACAAAGTTGATCAGGGAAATCATCTCAGAGGAAACGAGCAGTTTAGATGTTTCATCAGTTCCTGCTGAAGTAAAGTTTTGTTAACTTTCATTCCCTCCACCCTGTTTATATTGTAAATTGTTTTGTAGAAACCTGTAATGTTAAAGAATGCTTCAATAACTTCCTCAATTCTAAGGTTTTAGTAAATGGAGCGTAACACATTATGCTCTCTTTACCCCACACCAACTTCAGATTAAAGCTACAGAGATTAATCAAGAATCATTTGAAGTTCTCATATAGGCTCTGCTGTTTACAAAAGTGTTCATTTTGCGTGTCTCCCTGTTACTGGAGGAGATTAAGATTACAGTCAAATCTAAAGAATAGCACATGATCCAATCAGCCAGATTAATATATTAAAGGGATAGACGGCCTCCACTGAAACCTCCTTCAGATAAATCAGTCAGTTCCTGCAGTAGAAAACCATCCTGACAGCCTCATGTTGGAGAAACTGGAATCATAGCAGTTATTTTAGGGGCAGCTGTGGATGAGTGGTTAGATCAGTCGTCCTCCAGTGGGAGAGTTGGGGGTTTGATTCCACCAGCAGTCACATGCTGAAGTGTCCCTGAGCAAGACACTGAACCCCTCATTGTCTCTGATGTGTGTCCTATCTGTGTATGAATGTGATACAGCTCTGATTAGTCTGATTAGTGGGTAGAAGAAGGCACAGATTGTTGTAAAGAGCTTTGAGTATCTTGATAAAATAGAAATGTGCTGAATAAGTAGAGTCCATTTACCATTCAACACTGAGCTGTTCCAAATGGGCCAAGATCAAAGTGAACTTCTGTCTAGAAATAAAATCCAACCTCCAAGATTTTAATGTGCAGTGGGACGTTGGTCAGAGGTTTTCGTGCTTCTGCACATTTGATGTAATTCAGCGGGTCTTTGACGAGTTTCTGCTCAAACCGACGGCATGCTGAAGAGCTCTTTCAGTCACTGGAATCAGAAAAAACATCCGATTCACTTCACTGGGATTATTTCCACAGACCAGGAGCGTCAGGCCTTCGGTCTGTTGAGTATAAATCTTTCAGGGTGTTCATATCCAAAACTCAAAGGAAGCGCAGCAACATAAACTCAAGAATACTTTCCACCAGAGAGCTTTTATTGTTGGTTTCACAACAAGCATCAAGTTAAAAAAAAGTTTAAACAGTTTCACTTAACCACACAAGTTAATATTTAAGATTATCTGGGTAACACATGAGAAAAGAAAATCCATGTACCAAAAGTAAAAACCAACTTAATGTAGTAAAAGATGCAAATAAAACATTAATACTTATATTCTGCATTAACGCAGGATGTACTGGAGAATTCACGGCCTTTGCTTTTTATTCCTTTTCTTATTCCAGTTTTTATTGTTGCAGACTTTATGAGCAGATAATGAACAGAACTAAATGAATGCATCTCTGCACTCTTCTTTTTCCCACTCTGTTTCTTCATGTAGGCGCCAGGTCTCCAGGTGAGCCAGGTCTGATTGTTACCGCACCTGTTACTGATCAGTTCACCTTCTGAATGACATCCTTTTCATTTATCACTGGAAACTCATGACTGCTTCCCCCTCTTCCATCCCTGACCTTTCCCTCCCTCCTGCTGTTTTCCTCCTTTGCAGCAAGGTCTCCAGGTGAGACAAGAGGGACTTAAAAACAACGTTTGTCAGAAACATGTTGCTCTTTGATGTTCCAAACTGTTGTTGGAGAATCAGAGAGATGCTGTCCGTTCGTCCCACAAAGAATACCAGATTGAAGATGACAAAGCAGGGGCGATTCTAGGATCTGACCTTTAGGGGGGCTCAGCCCCCAGTACTGACAATGGCTCCTGGCTTGAACAACGCACCCCATGATGAGGTTGGTGAGAAGTGCAGCACCTGGTGGTCCCAGGCGGTCTCCCATCCAGGAACTAACCAGGCCCGACCCTGCTTAGAGATCAGATGGGTTCATCAGGGTGGGATGGCCGTAAACGAGGAGTTCGGTCACAAATATGACTTTTAAAGGAGCATAACAAACAAAGACTAAACTTATACAGCCAGAAGTTACAACATGCAG